CGAGGTAATGAGGAAATCCCTGCACGAAATTAATTTTCGTTACGAAACGCGTAATCGGAAGTCAGTATTGATAGAGAGACCTGAAATAGTCGCCTGGCGTCGAAAATACCTACGCGAAATGATTGAATATAGGCGACAAAGCAGAAAAATCTATTATTTGGACGAGACATGGGTAAATGCAGGTCACACAGTTAAAAAAACCTGGATAGACAAAAACGCAGTGAGTAACCGACAAGCAAGCATTAAAGGTTTGTCAACAGGTCTTCGTGGACCGTCAGGGAAAGGTAACTCATATTGGTAGCGATAGTGGCTTTTTAGAAGAGTGTGACTTGATTTTCGTCTCTAAGAAAGGAGGTGATTACCATGACGAAATGAATGCCAGCTGCTTCGAGAGCTGGTTTCAAGGGGTGCTTCAGCGAGTTGAGCCCAACTCTGTGATCGTCATGGATAATGCTTCCTACCATAGTCGTCGAGCCGAACGTGTACCGACTATGGGATCTCGAAAAAGTGACATGCAGCAATGGTTGCGCGAAAAAGGAATCCCGTTTGATGATTCAAGTGTGAAAGCGGAATTGTATGAAAAAATTAAACAGCACAAATCTGCGAACATTAGTTACGTGACTGATGAGATGGCCCGTCAATGTGGTGTCACTGTGCTGCGGTTACCGCCCTACCACTGTGAACTGAGCCCAATAGAGCTCATCTGGGCTCAAGTGAAGGGTTATATTGCGCGCCATAACACAACCTTCAAATTACCAGACGTTAAGGTTTTACTTGAGACTTCCATACAGCTAGTAACGCCCGAAGCTTGGCAGAATGCTATCCGTCATGTTGTGAAGGAAGAAACAAAAATGTGGCAGCTTGACCACAACATCGACACCATCATAGAGCCAGTTATAGTCAATTTCAACGAGGAAAGCGATAGCGACAGTTTATTACTGTCAGATGTAAGTGGAAGCGACGAAGAATAAAGGTAATTCCCAAATTTTTGACTTACAATACGTTTCAAACCACTCTTTATTAAGCATTTGACAAATCTAGTTCACCCATTAAACATTCATACCCCGCCTATGAACAGCCGACTACTGGTAGTTAAGTGATGTTCACGTGAACATCGATGAGTCATTACAGTTTTAGATAGTTATAGTATAGTAGATGTAGCGGTTCCTAACGATTCGAATGTAATTCTGAAGGAAGCAGAAAAGTTAAGCAAGTATAAAGACCTGTAAATAGAGGTAATCAGAATGTGGAACGTTAAGACCCGAACAGTTCCAGTCATTGTATGAGCCCTAGGGACCGTTAGAAAGGGGTTACAGACCAACCTCTCACAACTACCAGGAAAACCATCTGTTGCTGAAGTGCAGAAAATAGTACTACTGGGCACTGCTCACATTATCCGCAAGGTATAGGGTGAATCGCTTTGATCTCGGGTAGAGATCTGGATTCGCTTAAGACTGTCACAATAGGACAAGAGGAAACCACTAAAATAATATAATAATAATAATGGGTCTTTATTAAGGAATAAATTACATATTTATATAATGCTCCTTAAAAGGCGGGGTCTAGAAAATATCTACTCTACTCAACCTTTCGGAAAATGATTAAAATAAAAAATTGAATGAAAAAAAAAACAAGCTCAGATTGTAAGACATTAGAGTGATTTTAGATAACAAAAACTATACATGACTTTAATTAACAACGCAACAATTAACACTACGAATGCGTGTGTGATTGACAAAACTCTCTATTATGAGTGACATTACTATTAGACTAGACACTGAGGTCACATGTGCCGTTATACGAGTATATCAATATACCTTTGGATGCGGTGGGCCGATTTTAATTTTTCAAACCTCATTTTCCTCCTGTTTCAAGGGTCAACATGTTTTATGATCACACATTTGTGTATAATTCAGATACACCAAGATGTTCAATTTTTATGAATCCGCACCGCTTTTCGAACATTAATATTTTAAATTGAAGTATCGTCCGTCTTTGCTAGAGTAAGAATCAATTTCGAACAGTTATAACTATTATATTTACAGCTACTAAAGACATTTTTTGCTGATCTTGACATTAGCTTGAAATAAGATTGCTAATATCTAATCATATTTAAAAATGGCCGCCAAGTGATACAACTTTTGTACCTTGTGCCACTTGAGGGAAATTTTTAAATATGGCGGTCAAACGACTGCGATTTGAATCGCGTGACTTTCTTTTTTATATACTCTAGACTTTTTCTAATCTCTGGAACTTAGCTCTCGATCGAAAACAAAAGTTACTGTCTGGTATACAGGGTGATTCAGAACAGTTATCTATCCATATTAGTCCAAAAAGGTCTAGGAATGTGTATAACTTAGTTTAAAAAGGAATCTAGTGTCTGGTAAATTTTAACTGCTTTTATGAGTGTACAGCCAAAAAAGCAGAATATGAGGCAAGTTTCAGATTTTATGCTAGAAGCATCGTTAGTCACGCTAAAATTTTATGGGTATGCGGCCCAGAACAATTGCGGCAATTTGCCGCCTAGGCACAAATTCTGTGCCCCTGGTAGTAAAATGGGACCTTAATGTTCGAGTGCAGTATAATAGCGGCGACAAAATGCATCTCTTTAGGCGCGAGAGTGACCCACAATTGAAAAACAAAGATTAAAAACTCCACAAAAATGCTTGAAAATGTTGTTAATAGATGCTTGAAGAATATTCAGAAGTTTGGGTAACATTGAATTTTTTTTTCATATCAAAAGGACGTCATATTTTTCAAATATTAAATCGCTTAGACCTCGAAAAATACCAACTTTAGAGAAAACCTTGATAGAACCTTTTTGGTTCAGAACAAATCTAAGAAAACGTTGTTCAATGTTCAGCATTTTTCTAAAAATGCTCACCATATGTAGATGCGTTAAGAGAAGTCCGTTTTGAATAAGATTATGCTAATAACCAAATCCCGAATCAGAATATTCCTCCTCTGGACTATTATGATGACCGGTTTGTTTGTTTGTTGAAGATTTATTTAGAGTTAATGCTACAATGTCAATTTCGTATAATTATTCGTTTACATCTTTTTTTAATCAGGTTTCTCTAATTTTGCATTTTTGTCTATCAAAATTACATTACTATTCATTGAGTATCCATAAGGTAATTTTTTAATTCCACCTTAAACATGTATAAATTCGAACACTGTTAAATATCATTATTCAATGTATGTACTAAATTCAAATTGTTCTCAATTTTTAAATTATTAAATACTTCCTTTTGAAATACAGATTTGCTAGTTATGATAGTTACAATTTTTCAGATGAAAATCTATACTGCCTCTAGTTTCGCAGTTATGATAATGACTATTTAATTTTGTGAAGTTTTTCTAAGTGTAGTGGTAATAAATGATTGTTTAATTTGAATATGAAAATGAGAACTAAATAACGTGATTTTTTTACATTCAACCACTGTACATATAGTTCTAGCATAGACTTATTTATTTTTATTCAAAATATTTCTCATATCCAATATCTTTTCATTTGCTGTAAACAAGATGGTTGAACAATATACAAAATGGGGATGAATATTTGGGTTAGGTATACACAATTTTGTTGGTATACATACAAAGATTATGGGAAACTCGATAGAAGTAATTTGTCTTTTCTGAAATGTTTGAAATAATGTATTCATAGTGCTCGTGAAACAGTAGTTTACTATCTACATATACAGGGTGTTAGGGAAATAATATTAGTAACTTTAAGAGGTGACTCCTTGCATTATTCTAAGCAAAAAAGTTCATTATAACCTGTGTCCGAAAATCAACCGTTTCGAAGCAAAAGAATGCTGAACTTATTTCTCTTTTGTCATGAAATAAATTAATTTTGCACCTTAATAATTTAAATTTATATGCGTAATAGCCTAAAATGTATCAATACAAACATCTATTTATTAATTAACTGTCTCTAACAAAATAATTTTCTTGCTTATTAAATGCAAATTTCCGAAGAAAAACAGACAAACAAAATCCCTGACGCAACTGGCAACGTCGTACTCCGCCTGCACTGCATGTATCATAGCGTGATGTTGTGATTACTAATACATTTAACTGTAACTTTATCGCCATGCACCGGTAAGTTATGCCATTTTTTTAGGCAAATGTACTGTACTGAAAGCGTTATTAAATAAAAAATATTAGCCACAAAAAGTTGCGTAAAAGTATTCAATAATTCAAGGCATATTTTCAACAAAAAGATTATACAAACTTAAACAATTCGATGAATCATTTACGGTCGTCGTGCGCTCGTATCGCGGTTGCGTTGCAGCGTTGCCAAATATTTGAGAAAATTTAATTATCTACGACTCACTCTCCTCGAAAATGATTGATTTTCGGACATAAGTTATAATGAACCTGTTTGCTTAAAATAATGCAAGCAATCACCTCTTAAAGTTACGAATATTGTTTCCCTAACACCCTGTATACCCAGATATTTAAATGATTCGTCTACTTCAATGTTAAATCACAAGTTGTCATGGCGATCTAAATCGCCGGATTCAAATCCGTTAATTATTTCTTTCTAGTAGATCAGGTTTTTCTTATTCGATCTATTATAATTTTCGAAAATACTATATATTTTAACCAAAATCTGCTAAAGGGTTATTATGAATTATACGGATTTTCAAAAAAGTTTGATACCCTGTATTTTCGAAACGAAATATTTCTGTAGGTACCGATGTTTGTATCAATTTTTATTCTTAAAATACCAAAGGTCCCCTGATACTTGCCCAGGTTCTTACTTAGCACCCTGTAGAGTATTTGTAGACCATATTAATTGCCTGGGAGTCATGGATGAAGAGTTTTGCCTTCTAACTATATGTATTCTACATTTTCATGCAGATAAAGTAAAATATGCCCCCATTATCTTAGAGAACAAGTTGGAAGACTATCATGCCACCAAAAAGGGAGAGATCACACGATTCTGAAGCACCTTGAACATAGTTTAATTTCATGTTTCAATCTCCACACAGGTGATGGTGCTAACGACGTGGCCATGATCAGAAAAGCCCACGTCGGAATTGGAATCTCAGGATCTGAAGGCAATCATGCCACAGCGGCCGCAGACTACAGCATAGCCCAGTTTCGATATTTGAAGAGACTACTCTTCATCCATGGCGCCTGGAGCTACCTACGGGTATCCAAACTCATCCTGTACTTCTTCTACAAGAACCTCACGTTCCAGCTGGTGCAACTGTGGTTCACCCTCAGCGCCGAACATTCTGGCAACAACATGTTTGAACGATGGAGTATTGGACTGTACAACGTTATATTTACTGCGTCACAACCTGCGGTGCTTGGGATTTTCGACAGGCCTTGTAAAGCCGCACTCATGATGGACAATCCCATCACTTATACTTACTCCCAATCGGGAAAGTTACTGAACGTAGCCTCGTTCATGTATTGGCTCTTCACAAGCTTCTCGCAGTCTTTGATGATATACTTCTTGACAATCGAAATAATGAAGCACGACATGTTGTGGTTAGAACCAAGTCATACCAATTTCCATATCCTCCCGGGTTGTGTCGCCTACACATACCTTGTCATTGTAGTGAATTTGATATCAGGGAGGCTCTGCGACTCATGGCCGTTTTTCATCCATTTCAGTATTTGGACCTCTGTCCTAGGTTGGTTCATTTATCTTACAGGGTACAGTTACTTGGAGCATATCATAGGTATCAGTATGAAAATGACTGATATATGCTGGAGGCTGTACACGTCAGTCCCTTTTTGGATGGGAATGGCTCTTGTACCTCTTATCGCGTTACTTCCGGACTTTGTGGCTCATATATTGAACCATACGATGTTCTGTAATGTTCTGGACAAGGTACGGCTAACAGAAGTGGGTAAACAACAGGTGGCAGGGCGGAAGTTTTTGAATTCGCTTTATTTTTTCGTAGTTTATGGGGGGGACAGGAAACTGAAGTTACACGAGTCTCTTGATGCTAACACCATAATGTAATGTTTGTAAGAATTAAGTTGTAATGCAATGGTTCTTAATGCATGTGTCTCATCGTGTACTTCTTCTACAAGAACCTCATGTTCCAGTTGGTGCAGCTGAGCTTCACCTGCACGGCAGAATATTCTGGCAACAACATGTTTGAACGATGGAGTATTGGACTGTACAAAGTTATATTTACTGCGTCACAACCTGCGGTGCTTGGGATTCTCGACAGGCTTCGAAAAGACTCTCTCAAGGTGGGCAATCCCATCACTCAATCTGGAAAGTTACTAAACATATCCACGTTCATGTATTGGCTCTTCACGAGTTTCTAGCAGTCTTTGATGATATAGTTCTTGACCATCAAAATTGAAGCTCGGCATGTTGTGGTTAGAACCAAGTCATACCAATTTCCATATCCTTCCAGGGTTCATCGCCCACCCATACCTTGTCCTTGTAGTGAATTTGATATCAGGGAGGCTCTGCGACTCATGGCCGTTTTTTCATCCATTTCAATATTTGGACATCTGTCCTGGGATGGTTCATTTATCTTACAGGGTACAGTTATTTGGAGCATATCATAGGTATCAGTCTGAAAATGACTGATATTTTCTGGAGGTTGTACGCGTCAGTCCCTTTTTGGATGGGAATGGTTCTTGTACCTCTTATCGCGTTACTTCCGGACTTTGTGGCTCATATATTGAACCATACGATGTTCTGTAATGTTCTGGACAAGGTACGGCTAACAGAAGTGGGTAAACAACAGGTGGCAGGGCGGAAGTTCTTGAATTCGCTTTATTTTTTCGTAGTTTATGGGGGGGAGAGGAAATTGAAGTTACACGAGTCTCTTGATGTTAACACGATAATGTAATGTTTGTAAGAATTAAGCTGTAATGCAATGGTTCTGAATGCATGTGTCTCAACCTGTACTTCTTCTACAAGAACCTCACGTTCCAGTTGGTGCAGCTGTGGTTCACCCTCAGCGCAGAACATTCTGGCAACAACATGTTTTAACGATGAAGTATTGGACTGTACAACGTTATATTCACTGCGTCACAACCTGCGGTGCTAGGGATTCTCGACAGGCCTCGAAAAGACTCTCTCAAGATGGACAATCCCATCACTCATTCGGGAAAGTTCTTAAACGTATCCTCGTTCATGTATTGGCTCTTCACGAGTTTCTAGCAGTCATTGATGATATAGTTCTTGACCATCGAAATTGAAGCACGACATGTTGTGGTTAGAACCAAGTCATACCAATTTCTAAATCCTTCCAGGGTCCATCGCCTCTACACATACCTTGTCCTTGTAGTGAATTTAATATCAGGGAGGCTCTGCGACTGATGGCCGTTTTTCATCCATTTCAGTATTTGGACCTCTGTCCTAGGTTGGTTCATTTATCTTACAGGGTACAGTTACTTGGAGCATATGATGATGACTGATATATGCTGGAGGTTGTACACGTCAGTCCCTTTTTGGATGGGAATGGCTGTTGTACCTCTAATCGCGTTACTTCCGGACTTTGTGGCTCATATAGTGAACCATACGATGTTCTGGACAAGGTAGAGCTAACAGAAGTGGGTGAACAACAGGTGGCAGGTCGGAAGTTCTTGAATTCGCTTTATTTTTTCGTAGTTTATGGGGGGGAGAGGAAATTGAAGTAACACGAGTCTCTTGATGTTAACACTTTAATGTAATGTTCGTAAGGATTATCCTGTAATGCAATGGTTTTGAGTGCATACTACTGTCAGAACAGGAATTTCGTGTATCAATTGTCACTTAAAGGTTTTGGGCTGTCTGTCTTCTTTTACATTTTAGTGAGATGGACTGATTGCAAATTGAATCTCTTACTATAGGTATATCGTAAGATCTATCTTATAGGGTGGAATTGCGTTGAATGGGGCTCCTAATGTTAGAACTGAAATTATGTTATGTTTGAGAGAATTAAAGGTTTTAGACAACTTTCTGGTGGTTTACTCCTGCATATTTTTCAAACATTAAGGTAAACTGGAGCTCATTTCAAATTCATCCATAGTTGGTCAAAAGTCCAATTTAAGGTTACAAAATATTTTGTTGCTCAACTTAATCGTATATTTCGCGTGAAATTTAGGATAACTGCTGTCTTCATAAAACTATTAATCACACTTTTCGCGATTGCTCTCCAATTTATGATGACAGAAGTTATTCTCGAGGACATACCGGAAGTTTTTTTTAACTTCTAGGACCGTACGCGGAATATTAGACGAAATAGTTTAGTAACAAAAGAAAAATGTATGCATGCAATTCAAATTATTTAATAATAAACAACTTTTGTTCAGGGCGAAGTTTAAAAGAGTGAACCCAGCACTTTGGCTTTCACAGATATTCTGTTCAAGTATCTACATTAAAACGCCTACCGAAAATGTTTAATAACCCAGAGTGAAAATGATTGGAAACACTGTACAAAATCAAGAAATGAGTGTGTAGCAGCTCTCAGGAGGGAAAAGAAAAAATACTAAGATCGATAGCAACAAAAAGTTCTAAAATGATGGGGAAACATAAAGAATATTGTTTTTCCAAATAGAATCTGAAATGCGTTTCGAAAAATAATTATATAGTAGATAGTAGAAATAATGAACACTTATTTTATAGGCAGTCTAAATCAAACAGCCAAGACAATTGATACCGGTGATCCAAACTTATGTTCATTTCGAGTATATAATAATTCATCAGTGAATCAATTTAGGGCAATAAACATCAACAGTCTAAGAAAAGCTATCTCAGAATATAATTGGAGATAAATTTTTATCATTGGTTTAGTACTCATCAAAATTAACGTGTTCCCCCATTACTCCTGTGCCAAAAGATCAACATTCTGAGCTATATACAAATATGCGGCCGATAAATACGAGCATCTGACTATATGAAAATCAGTTTCCAGAGGGAAATGTTGCATACACTTTCAAAATGTCACAGCGTATCATTGAATTATCTAAGAAAAAAAGTAAACAGTTTAAAATCAAATAACAACTGTGCCGAAATCACTACTAAAAACGTGCTGAAAAACTGTTTCGAAATTTTGGGATATCCTGTATTAAATTGGATCAATTGTTCACTGAGAAGCAGTTCTTTTCCTGAAATTTGAAATGCTCTACAATAACACCAGTTCCCAAAATAAAAAATTCTAAAATATGCAGCGATATGAGACCAGTAAATGTATGACCAGACATTGAAAAATTATTAGAGTCCATAGAGCATGACCAATTAATGCAGTTTATAGAAGAAAACAAAATTTTAGTTGAGGCGCAAGCAGGCTTTCGAAAAAAATATTCCACAGAAACAACTTTCCAGTTGGTAACTGAGAATTGGAGAACAGGCATAGACTCAGAAGAAGTTGTCATAGCAGTATTTTTGGATTTGAAGAGGGCATTTGAAACGATTGATAGAGATATTTTGTTAGGTAAATTGAAGGCATATGGTATAACAGGAAGTGTTTTAGATTGGTTTAGAAATTATTTGTCTAAAAGGATGCAAGCTACATAAGTTAATGACACTATTTCATCAAAAATTGAAAATACGTTGGGTGTTCCACAGGGCAGTATCCTGGGACCACTTCTTTTTATTTTATACATAAATGATTTACCTGCCATAGTCAAAAATGCAAAATTCAGATTTTCGCCGATGACACTATGATTTATATAAGTACTAAAAATATTCAGTCTGGTATCTCTTATATAAATGAAGACTTGAAGCTTGTCTCAAAATGGTTAGCATCTAATAGACTAAAATTAAATGCAAGTAAAACGAAAGCCTTGTTAATCGGAAAAAAACAATGTACAAATGTTCAACTGAATATTGATGGTGAAGATATTGAATTCGTAGAAAATTTTTAATACCTGGGGGTTTTTGTTGACTCTCGATTAATTTTTGATATTCATTATGAAAAAGTTATAAATAAGATTAGTAGTAAAGTGGGATATTTATCGAGAGTTTCAGGATGTCTGAGTTTATATAGCAGAAAAATTATCTATAATACCATCATTCCTCCAAATTTCTTGTACTGTTCGACTATTCTATATTTAGCAAATAATTCCATTTTTGAAAGACTGCAAATTTTACAAAATAAGTGCATGAGAATAATACTAAATAAAGATAAATATACTCCAATTAGGCAAATGCTTAGCAAATTAAAATGGCTCTATGTAAAAAATTTTATCAAATATCTTGTAATGATATTCATTTATAAAGTAACAAATGATATATTTCCATCAAGTCTAACTAATTTAACATCATCAAATGTCGACCATCATTTACATAATACCAGAAATAAAGATGACTTCCATTTAATGACCAAAAAGTATAACATATGCTACAAATCTGTATTCCATCAAGGGTTGATTGAATATAATAAATTATACTCGGAGATAAAAGACCAGAAAACTTTGACAAAATTTAAAGTAAAATTGAGAAATCACTTGTTAAATCTACAATTATAGGTTGCCCAGCATTTACATCATACACCATATGGCTTGAATTTACTAGTTCTAAGTTGTTTACAATTATTCTGTTAATGTAGCCAAATGTGCTAAATAAATATTTCTACTACTACTACTACTACATCAATACGAGCAAATCATTGAATTCCTTAAAGATAACAAAATTTGGACAAAGTCAAGCTGGATTTAGAAATAAATATTCTACAGAAACAGCAATCCAAATAGTAGTGGAAGGTTGAACGAAAGTTTCTATGCTGAAGATCCAGATTCATGCCAAGAAATTGTAAATCCCGTTGAAATACAAGAACTTTCCGAAAATTATGATGTCGATGAGGTTCCAGTACTAACAAAAGGCTACTCCAAATTATGGTAAAGCTATTTACCCAGACCAAGCAGCTAAAAAGTTCTGTCGAAAATCAGGGAGATAGAGTCTTTGGAGCTTCTTTCTGAATTAAAAATACGATTTCAAGACGCCATGTTAAAGAAAAAGAGGAGACAGACAACAATATATGAATTTTTTCGTCCTTGAAGTGACTTTTTATTTCATTGTTTTGTAGTACTACATATGTAAGTACATATATACTTTATATATATATATATATATATATATAATTTATTTGGGTAGAAGGCAAAGTATTGCAAAAGTACACTCTTATAACTTAAACTCTCAAGCTTTCGAAGATCTATGTCTTCATCGTCTGGAGCTGGAAACAATTATTGACAATAGCAACAAATAACAATTACGAGAACAACAGTGAAGGGAACACAGTCGACGAATTGTTATTTGTTGCTATTGTCAATAATTGTTTCTAGCTCCAGACGATGAAGACATAGATCTCCGAAAGCTTGAGAGTTTAAGTTATAAGAGTGTACTTTTGCAATACTTTGCCTTCTACCCAAAGCCCAAAGAAATTAAAGAATATTTTCTCCAAAGAGTACTTCGAAGTTGAGTCATTTATTGTAACAGTGAGTAGATCTGATCAAAAGAAATGTTTTTTTCCTTTAACATTTTTGTGGTAAAATTAAAGTAACAAAGTTATAGCCCTTTAGAAGTTTGAGTACCGTCCTGTCTCAATAATATGTGCTCGTGTTTGGCAACAACGGATATAATCGGAAACAAAAAAGCGGAAGAATTTGAAATGCTTATCACGATGTTTTATTCATTTATTTTATTCAGTTGTATTCATTCGATGTGTCAGTCGGTAACGCGTGAGTGGTGTTTCTGCCTGGCTCAAACGAAATAAAAAATGGCACATGTTTACGAAAATGCTGAACTTGTGGACATGATTCTGATTTTACAAAATGCTGCTACGGCAACACGGATTTATGCGGATCGTTTTCCCAATCGAGTGCAACCAACCCCTAGTGCCTTTGTTAATGTAGTACAAAGGGCTCGTGAATCAGGTGACTTAAGTCCTCACACGGGAGGGTATGTGCTCCAAGACCGCACGATCAAATACAGGTCCGCACTGAAATACTTGTCGGGAGGATATTTTATAAAACAAGGTAACATTTTTTTAATTTTTTTTTCAATTTTTACACACATATTTTGGTTTATCTTCCTTCTACAATCATTATCTGAAAATTAATGACTCAACTTCAAAGTCACCCTGTATATATATATATATATATATATAGGTGAAAAATTAAAGCTTCCGCCTTTTGTTGGGTACTTCGACAAAATTTAAGCAAAGAGACTCTTTATAATTTTTTTAATTCTCTCTAGCTTTCAATGGACTTTGCCATCATCATCAGGAGCTGCAATTACATTGATAGCAGTAGCAACAATAGTGTAAAATGAATTTAAATTGACTTAACTTACAGTAGTATGTGAGGATGTTGCTAATTGTTGTTTACGTTCAGGATGAGGGAAACGCCCAGTAACATGGTGAAAGCTGGATAGATGGTACAATGGTCAAAATTATATAAAATACACACAAATGTGTGACAAGAACAAGTTAAAAACAGATTAAAAATGTTTAGAACATGAAAGCATTACATCGTGAAGCCACTTGATGATTGCACAAAATGGTGGTCATGGAATAATGAGTGAGATGAACCCTTTGACAGAAGGCCAAAGGTTGTCAATGTCTGTGTAGAAAGATGGAACGAATTGTGGGCGTGTGCCACGTTGCCAAATCACTTCAGATGATGTGATTTTCAGAATGTTATGTAAGAAATTGTTAAACCGACCAGAGGCAGTTGAATTAACTATATTTTAATTAATGGGAAATTAAATTAACAATTATTATTAAATCGTGAGGAGAAAATTATTAGAATTTGAGTGGAATGAAGTTTATTGGTGGAATCGACCAAGAAACAGATTCCATTTGTGGTTGTGAAGAGTCAAAATTTGAGATATGTAAGTTCTCCAATTTTTCGCAGTTTAGCAAATATGAGTAAATGACACTCAGTTGCTTAACATCTGTCTTTTTGTTGATACAGTTGTTATTCATGAAAATGTGGGACATTTCCAGGAATAAACG